AGCTTATAGATCTACATCCACAGAAAAAATTGTTAGTTTAAAAATGAACTGATTTGTGTCGATCTCTCTGGTTGTCTGCTCCTTATTTGACTATCTCCAGTTGATTTTTCTGATATCCCACTTCTTGATAGATCAGACAACATTTTATGCGAAATAATTTAGACACGACAGAAAAGTTCTAATGAAAATAGATTTTCAAAAAGTAATTTTCTGGAAAAGGATATTGCCAGGAGTCATGTCACGTCAAGCTTTAGTGAACGTCTTTGAAGTTGGTGCCTCGAAGTCCATCCAATTATCTGCTGGGAAGTATTCCAAGTTGTTCCAAACCATCGATGAACCCTATCGGAATTTTTGAGGTCATCCTAAAAAATTTATGTCCCAGTTAACTGTCTTGGCGTATCTCGAACTGTTGGTGCGCAAATTATGGATTTTTGAGATCTTCTCAAAAATTCTGTCCCAGTTGCAAATCTCAAAATAACTTCAGTCCTTACTTTGTTAGAGATATCTTCTTCTTGAGAATTTTTTTGTCCCTCTCAAAAATTCTGCCCCAGTCTCTATTATGAAGCAAAATAGAAATCTTGCGGGAGATATGACCGAACCGGTGTGGCGCCTATGTATCCTGTTCTCGAGAATTCAGGTCAAACGTAGTTCAAGTACAAGGAAACATTAAAAAGGATAAAATGGGGTGATCGAGGCCGACATAGGCCGCCTACGTATCTCATTCTTGAGAATTCAGGTCAGACGTAGTTCATTACAAGAAGGATAAAATTCTAAACAAAGCGATTACAAGCAAATAAAATGATTACAAGGGAACGACAGCAATACAAACTAAAACTTCACACATAATATCTCTTGACAGCATCTGAGTTGACCGGTTTCGGCCATTCGGTGCCATCCATCTCCGACAAGACCAAGGCACCTCCAGATAACACTTTGCGAACCATGTAAAGTCCTTGCCAATTTGGTGCAAATTTCCCTTTGTACTCATCCTAATGAGGAAAAATGCATTTAAGGACTAACTGGCCGATCTCAAATATCACGGCTCTTACTTTCTTGTGGAAAGCACGAATCATTCTCTGTCGATAAACCTGACTATGACAAACGACCATCATTCTCTTCTCATCAATCAATGTTAACTGATCAATTCTCTTGCGAACCCAACTAGCATCACTCAATTCAGCTTCTTGGATGATTCTTAGTGAAGGTATCTCAACTTCGGCAGGTATAACTGCTTCTGTTCCATATACTAACAAGTATGGAGTAGCTCCAATTGATGTTTTGATAGTCGTTCTGTAACCCAAAAAAGCATATGGCAACATCTCGTGCCAACCTCTGTGATTGTCAATCATCTTCCTCAGAATCTTCTTTATGTTCTTGTTGGCGGCTTCTACAACTCCATTCATTTGGGGACGATAAGCGATTGAGTTTCGGTGAGTAATCCTGAATTGTTCACATATTTCTCTCATCAAATGACTATTGTCTCCATTATCAGCAATGATGGATTCTGGTACTCCAAACCTACATATCAAATTATTGCAAACAAAATTAGCTACAATTTTCTTAGTTACCGATTTGTACGAAGTTGCTTCTACCCACTTGGTAAAGTAGTCAATGGCAACCAAAATGAATCTGTGTCCATTAAAAGTGTCTGACTCTATTGGACCGATGACATCCATACCCCAAGCTACAAATGGCCAAGGTGAACTCATAGCATTGAGTTCGTGAGGTGGCACTCGAATCAATCACCATGCACTTGACATTTATGACATTTTTGCACAAACTTGCAATAGTCATGATCCATAGCCATCCAAAAATACCCAGCTCGGAGGATCTTCTTCGCCAAAGTGATCCAATTCATGTGAGTACCACAAACTCCGGCGTGTATCTTTTCTAGAAGCTTCGCAGCTTCATTAGCATCAACACATCTGAGAAGACCTAGATCTGGAGTCCTCCTATAAAGGATTTCCCCACTTGGAAAGAAATTGTTAGCCATACGGCGTATTGATTTCTTCTGGTTGAACGTTGCATTCTCGGGCTAAGTTCCGGTCTCCAAATACCTCTTTATGTCGAAATACCAAGGTAAACCATCTTGTTCAATTTCAACAAGTGAATAATAGACATGCCGCTCTTTTACCTCTAAATAGACTGGATCAATATAACTTGTATCCTGATGTTTAATCATTGATGTAATGGTGGCAAGAGCATAGGCCAACTCATTTTGTGTCCTGGGAGTGTGTTTAAACTCGATCTTGTGGAATCTTTTACACAACTTCTGTATATACTGCACATACGGTGTGATCTTTGGGTTCTTCACGGCCCATTCTCCTTGAACTTGATGAATCAACAAATCTGAATCTCTAATAACCAGTAGCTCATGAACATTCATGTCGATCGCCATCTTCAAACCAAGGATACAAGCTTCGTATTCTGCCATATTGTTCGTGCAATCAAATCGGAGTTTAGCTGCCATAGGATAGTGTTGATCGGATTCTACTACTAAGACCGCTCCGATGCCTTTCCCTTGGTGGTTTGCTGCCCCATCAAATAATACTCTCCAACCAGGGTATTCTTCAGAAATATCTTCACCCACAAATGCTACTTCTTCATCGGGAAAATAAGTCTTGAGCGGTTCATACTCTTCATCAACTGGATTCTCCTCAAGATGATCAGCCAAGGCGTGCGCTTTTATCACCTTCTGAGTCACATGCACAATATCAAACTCACTTAAAAGCATTTGCCATTTAGCCAATTTCCTGGTCGGCATCGCTTTCTGGAAAATATATTTCAACGGGTCCATCCTGGAAATAAGGTATGTCGTATAAGAAGACAAATAATGTCTCAACTTCTGAGCGATCCAAGTCAAAACACAACATGTTTTCTCCAAAAGAGTATAACGAGCCTCATATGGAGTGAATTTCATGCTCAAGTAATAAATGGCTCGCTCCTTCTTCCAAGTTTTATCATGTTGACCAAGCACGCATTCAAATGCGTTATTCGAGACAGACAGATATAGCAACAATGGGATCCCTTATCGTGGAGGAACCAACATTGGCAGATTGGACAAATAATTCTTTATGGCATCAACAACAATTTGACATTCTCCGGTCCATTTTGTCAGGGCGTCTTTTTGCAGCAACTTAAAGATGGGCTCACACACCACGGTGGATTGAGCTATGAACCGACTAATGTAGTTCAACCTTCCCAGAAAACTCATCACCTCTTTCTTGGTCTTTGGAGGAGGTAATTCTTGAATCGCCTTGATCTTGGAAGGGTCAAGCTCTATGCCCCTCCTACTGACTATAAATCCCAATAACTTGCCAGCTGGCACTCCAAAAGCACATTTAGCGGGATTTAGCTTCAAATTGTATCGACGCAGACAATTAAAAAAATTCCTTAAATGAGTCAAGTTATCCGAACTCTCGCGGGATTTGATTATAACGTCATCTACATACACCTCGATCTCCTTATGAATCATATCATGAAATATGGTCATCATAGCCCTCATATAAGTGGCACCGACATTCTTGAGACCAAAAGGCATCACCCGATAATGATATACACCCCAAGGCATAATGAAAGTTGTATTTTCTGCATCCTCTTCATCCATCAGGATCTGATGATAACCTGCATAACAATCTACAAATGACTGCATCTCATGTTTAGCATAGTTATCAATGAGAATGTGGATGTTTGACAATGGAAAATTATCTTTTGGGCTTGCTTTGTTGAGGTCTTTGTAGTCGACACAAATTCTGATCTTTCCATCTTTCTTGGAAACCAGAACAACATTAGCTAACCATGTCAGATACTGCATCACTTCCACCACTTTAGACTCAATCTGCTTCGTAATCTCCTCTTTGATCTTCAAAATCAATTCCGGCTTGAACTTCCGAGTTTTCTACTTTACCGGACTGAAATCTGGATTGATCGGTAATTTATGAGACACCATATTCATACTCAGCCCTGGCATATCCCTGTAAGACTAGGAAAATACGTCAATGTATTATCTAAGCAAACGAACCAGGTCCCTTATTTGAGCTTCGGTCAGATGGACACTGATTCTGACTACTTGACACATTCCTCATCTCCGAGATTCACAGTCTCAGTTTCTTCCAGATTTGGCTTGTGTTGATTCTAGAATTGTCGAAACTCTTTAGCAACATATACGGGTACCACATTTTCTTCTTCATATTCCTCGCATTCGTCATCACCTTCCTCATTTTGTTCACTCAGTTCATGACAGGACATGACAGGTTTTAAATTATTATTACTAAAATCATAAACAAACAAAGTTAGAAAAATAAAACATAATCAGCTGGGTAAATAAACAAATTTTCAATAAAAGATGCTTTTCATTTAAATGGAGAGACAAGCACAAATTTCGGCCATGGCCATGGGCCATTTCGCCTTTTTAAACATCACGGGGGAATTTAAAAACTCAAACAAGTAAAAATTGCATAAAGGGTGGGTCTCGGGCATCTTTCGGACTACCACTGATTTTAAAAACAAAATAAACACATGTACTTTCTGCCCAGATGAGCGGAAAATCAAGAGTGGTATGGAGGTGCAATTTTGCAATTGCTCCTCAGGTTCTGCATCATGGATGCCTGATGTCCAAGCCTCTTCCTCGATGACCGCATCAATCTCCTAAAAAAGGCCCAGATTACTCCCCCGAGATCACCATCGTCGATATACTCTCGTATTGGAAATGATTGGTACAACTGAGGAATTGGCTTGACCAATGCTTGATCAACACTGTTGTTCTTCATCTCTGCTTCATCATTTGTGGGGACATACCCCAAACCAAACTTTGCTCCTTTGGCGGGAATTTGGATAGGCTCGACAATTCCTTGAAAATGCTTCCCCAATCCAAAACCTGGTTCGAAACCGCTCCGGAGCATAACAGTAGCAATCATCTTATACACAAAAGGCATAAGGAAGTGTGGAGCCAAATCATCTCCGGTGGCATTTACCAACTCCACCATGTAGAAATTACAACCTCAGAAGACTTCATCGACGATCGGCGCATACCTATTGGAATGGCTCCCTTCACCATGAATGACCAATTCCTGGTCCTTCCAAACAAATTTCATTAGTTGGTGAAGGGTAGAAGGCACAACCCCAGCCATGTGGATAAATGGTCTTCCCAGAAGCAAATTGTAACTAGTATTGATGCTCAACACCTGAAACTTGACATTAAATTCCGCAGGACCCATTTGAATATCCAAGTTCACTGCACCCAACATGTCTCTTTGCACTCCATAGAAAGCCCTCACATTGACTTGGTTCTGGTGAACCTTTCCCAAGTCAAGTTTAGCTGCTTCAAAGTCAAAAGTGAGCAAATATCTAGACCGGATCCATCATCGACCAAGACTCAATTTATAACCTTGTCTCGTCACAAAATGGTGACGTGCAGAGCTTTGTTGTGCATCTTGTCTTCAAAGAAACTGATGCGGTGTCCTCGAATGACTTGGTGTATCATGGCTGCAAGATTATCACTGTTGGTACCCACAGGCACATAAGTATCATCCAAAGCCTTCATCAAAGCTTGCCTATGCAGTTGTGAACTCATCAGCAAAGCCCATACAGAAATCTAAGCTGGTGTTTTCTCTAGATGTTTCAGGATCGAGTAATCTTTTGGTTGCATCTTTCTTCAGAATTCTTCTACTTTAGCTTTACTAATCGGCCTTTTAGACTGATCTTTTTTCTATACCCCCTGGGCTAACTCTTCTGGTGTGTAGTATCTGTCGGATCTAGCCATACTCTGGGTAGCAGCCGTTTCAATCAAAATCCTTGGTCAGGCGAGAGTTTCTCTTGGCACCAAGGCAACAGCCTTCTCAGGTGTCAGAATCACAAACTCTTACTTCTCTCTAATGTATAACGAAGCTACAGCCCTTTCCAGTTCATCAGGAGCGATCGGAATTATTGCTTTTATCACACACCAATCATCATCTGTGTCTATCATATTGATAGTGATGCCTCCATGATTTGGCAAAGGGTTACTATTGACATTGGACGCGACTGTCTGGAGAGAGACCACTTTCTGGTCAATTAGATCTTGGATCAAGTGCTTCAGGTTGATACAGTCCTCTGTATCATGTCCAACACCATTGGAGTGATATGCACACCTCTGATCAGGTCTGTAAAACCTTGAGCTAGTGTCAACCGGCTTGGGCCCTACTGGATGAATGTATCCTACCGCAGTTAATCGCTCGAATAACTTTGTTCGGCTTTCAATTAGCGGAGTTAAAATTCTAGCGGGATTCTTCTCAAACCTAGGACGGGGGGGATCATAATTGCCTTGTTGAGGGGGAGGCATTTGACGATAATTTGGAATGTTTGGATGGGGGGCTTGATAGCTTGGGTATGGATTGGTTTGGTAATTTGGCTATGGAGCTTGGCAATTCGGGGGAGTATTTTGGTAAAGTGGAGCTGGGGCTTGGTACATTGGAGGAGGGGGTTTGGTAATTTGCATGAACGTTAGCACAGTTGGGGGCGGTATTTCGATAGTGATGAGATGGAGTCTGGTGAATTGGAGGGGGAGTTTGGTAGATAGGAGGGGGAGTATTTTGATAACTGTGGGGAGGGGTATTTTGGTAACTAGGGGGAGGGGTATTTTGGTAACTGGGAGCAATTTGATAATCAGTATGTGCATAACAAGCCGAGTATGAACTCTGTGAAGGTCGAGAACGACCTTGGTATGAAGAGGATTTCATTGGGGTCTTCTTCCCCTCATAAGAGATAGAAGACACATCTTCTCTTTTCTTCTTCAACAAACTCGAGGATCCGGGTAAGGCAGCAACACGAGTAATCTTCCCGGTTCTTAATCTATCTTCAATAGTCTCACCTACTTTGACTATCTCGGCAGACTTTGATCTAACGAGTAACATGATTCTATCATAATAATCGGGCTCTTGAACCCGCACAAATACTTCAACAATTTCTTTCTCAGACATAGGAGGCCGAACCCTAGTTGCCTCCTTTCTCCATCTGTATGAAAATTCTCTGTAACTTTCATTCGATTTCTGCTTCGTCTTTTCTAAGGAATAACGATCAGGAACGATCTCCACATTGTAGGCAAATCGTTCGATAAAGTCCTTAGCCAGAGCATTCCAGCTAGGCCATTGTCTCGTTTCATGAGATGTAAACCATTCCAGAGCCTCTCCACTCAGACTTCTACTAAAAAGCCACATTAATAAAGCTTCATCTCTTCCAACTCCCATGAGCTGGTCACAGTAGCCCCTCAGGTGTGCTAAGGGGTTTCCTGTTCCTCCAAAGACGTCGAATTTTGGCACCTTAAACCCTTTCAGGAGGTCTAGATTCGAATGGATGCATAGGCCTTCATAACTCAACCCGGCGACTTCAGGAATGCAGTGCAACTCTTTCATGGCCTTTCAGATCTCTTCCTTCATATCCAGCTTGGCGACCTCTTCCTTTGACCTCCACTCTCTCTCTCGCTCCTCATAGTGGTCGAGCTCAGAACCATTGGCATAAGGCTCATTGGGGACTGGGATTTGGAAAGTGGCTTTTTGAGGTAGGGGTGGAGCAATGGAGGGACTCTTCGCATTTTGAGGGGATTGATAGTTTTGAGGGAAAGTCTGGAGGCTAGTATGCTGATTTTGGTGGTGGAGAGAAGTTTGTGGGTGGTTAATGTTTTGGTTTTGAGGGGGCGAACTAGCTTGGAGGTTGGCATTTGGAGGAGGAAGTGGCGCTTGGGAGTTGGTACGAGGAGCAGGCGGTATCTGGTAAGAGGCGGAGGCATAATGGGGATTTTGGGCGGTTAGGTCGATGATTGAGGGATTCTGAGCAAGACTGGGGGTGGGTTTTGAGCATGTTCCGTGTTTGAAGGAGGAAGTGAAGTGGAGGCCTTTCGTATGCTGGAGCATTCAAAGCAAAACCCGAATTAGGCAAATCTTGCCTTCTCTGTATTTCGACCCTCCTCCCGGTGATCTGTTGCATCAACTGCATGATTAACTCGTTCTGATCGGGGATGATGGGATGAGCCATGACAACATATGTTAAGCCAGTATCCTCAACGTTATCGCCCATTGTTGACTTGCCATTTCGAGAATTCTGACTGGGGAAGGAATCTTTGGGAGCTTTTGATCTTGTAAAATAAGGGTGTTCAGCCAACTTATCAACACAGATCAGTTCTAACTACCTGTAGAGGAAAAAACAACTCAAAGACAAATTTGTTAGTTTTAGTTCAGGACAAAAAATGCAAAATATCACATAGAAAGCATGTAAACAAATAAAAGTTGCTTCGTTTGAGGATATGTTCACCCACGAGTAACGGGGATTGATTTTTCAAAGAAGCAGGAATTTGCTCATTTTAATTTGAGACTAGTGACCCAGGAAGGTTGAATTGCGTTGAGCTAAGGTCTTCTTGCTGCATTTCTCGGCATCTGTTGATGTGAACTCCACATTTCCTTGTAGAATGAAGGGGAAAAGAAATTTTTTTAAAAGATAGGGGACGGGCCTTGAAAGGTTGCTTACGTATCTCCAAAGGAGAATTCAGGCCCTACGTAGTTCGAATACAAAAGGAATTTGATTTTCATTTATTCTTTCTTTTGATTACAAGGAAATTAAAAACATGCGATAAAAACTCCTAAAATATAGATTGTGCCTTTATCAAGGCTTCTTATTTTGTTTAGTCAAAACCTTCTAGTTATTGCATTAACCATAGGGGGAAACTCAACTTGGATCCTTCCCTTGTTGATTAGGGACTCCACGTCATAGCGAAACCCGAGGCACTTTCCAATGTTGTGATCTATGGCATCGTGATAAGGGCAAGGTTTCCAGATTTCAATTCCAACGGGATCAAATGTTCCATCATCCCTTTTGATAGGGGTCAAGACCCCCCCTTCGAACCAACTGGCAATATATATCCAATAGCGTTCTCTTAAAAGGCGTAAAGAAGTGACAGTAAAACACAGTATTCTCTGTGACCGGTATACTGGCCCCGGTTGGTCACAGGTAAGGAGAGTGTTGTCACCACACATATAGGGGATTTTCCCAATGTTGATCAGGTCGCGGATCGCGGCCTTAAGCTCTACACATTGTTTTATTGTGTGCCCATTTCGGTCTGGATAGTAGACACATATCTTATGCATGTCCTCCGGTTTAACCTCAGAGGTGATTCCCGTGATTGGTCTCAGGATGCGTTTAGACCGAAGATGCTCATAAAAGAGAGCACAGAAAATGACTTTTGCTCCTACCCTATATTCATGTATATGTGCTTCGAGAGTGGTCTTCTTGTTCCCTTCTTTATGATGTCCTTGGAAAGGAGGCCTATAGACAATTTCCTCCTCAGGTTCTTCTTTAATGGCTTCAAGTTCAGTGTCTTCGGGACCGGTGACGTCGGCTTTCTCATGGAAGAAAAGTATGTTTCGCGCAGCTTTTGAAGCCTCAGGGCTAAATCATCTCTAAAGACATTGTCTTTCTTCCGCATAGCGATTGCTCTTCATTCATAATAGCATATCTTACCGTCTTAGTCGCCAACTCCGCGTCTAATGCTGCACTTTTGGCTTGTACGACCGCGGTGGCGAGTTCCACTTCTATTCTCCTTTCTTTGGTTTCGTGGATCTCTTGTTTGAATTGACGCAGTTTCATCCTTAAATCCTCCACAGTCGGCTCCATCTCAACATTCTTGCCTTTTTCCATCTTAGCAGCAAGTATACCTTTCCTGAGATGATAGAGTAATATCTTGGGATTTGCTAGTAGGATTTATTTTTTGGCTGAGAAACTCAAGACTCAGGAAATTTTTGATGGACATTTTGGGTAGTGACTTGTATTTGGTATTGTAGAGATTTTTCAGAATTTTTTTTGAAAAGGAGTGGGCTAAAATATCCTCGTTCAAAGCAGCAATAACACATAAACAATTAAAGCACACAAGCGGCTAACGTGCGTCCTAAACAAGTAAGGGCCCTTTTGTGCCAAAGGTAGGCCTAGCGTTTTTTGAAAGATGTATGTGTAGAATTGAACCATTTTGTTACCCCAAAGCAAATTTCACATATAAAATAATGTTCAGAAAGTGAAAATAAGAAGGGGAAATAAGGAATAAATGGGAAACACAAAAGGAAAGGCCCACGCAGGGGTCATTTGAAAAGAGTACCAAAATACAAGAAAGGCAAGCCCACGCAGGGGAAAATAACAACAAGTACACATAAAAAAAACCACGCAAGGGCAAAGTCCACTAAGAGGTTCCTGACGGCCCCGCTTCTATTCTGCTTCACTTATTTTGTCCCATATAGTGCTGAAGCCTGTACTGAATCATTAGCCAGTATCCGTCGTACCGGTGCCCTTTTTCTTCCCAATCTTCAAACCGCATCTCTCCCTTCTTACTTTCCATCCATGCGTTGAGCTCCCCAAAATCGCGCTTCAAGCTCTCTAATTCTTGGGTTACACCTTCGAAGGTGTATTTATCCTCCTCTTGCTTTCGGAGGAACTCATTATGCATTTCCCAAGATTCCTTTTTGACTTCTCTCAGTTTTATCAAAGCCTTGGACTCTTTGTCCTCCAAACTGCGGTAGATGTTTGGAACTGGGAAAGATATGCCTTGCAAATTGTCTTTCAACCAACCTTTGTAAGTTTCATCATACCCAGCATTAAATCGGTCCGCAGCAATGGTGTCTTTATCCATTCGTACTGCTTTTTTCCATTCTCTCAGCATCTCTGAAGCCTCAGGCACTCTATCATCCCCGATGTCGCACACATAGATATGGTAGTATGCATTTAGGGGTGTAGTTTGTTTTCTTCCGAACTGCCTCAAGACTCGGATGGGTGCATACGGGCGGATACCCCAAATACCTGGTAGAGGAAGCACAAGTTGTTTGTCTCTCCGTACTATGGCATCTTTCGAGATGAAACGGTCGAACATCCACTGAATATCTTTTTTTCTTAACTCGGAGAAAATATGAGCCCATCTTTCTCTGGTTCTCCTTTTTTCTAAATCTGCCCAGAACAACATATCATTCAAACTCTTAAGAGCATTATGCTCAATGAGGGTATGGAGCTTTTGATTCCTGTGTGTCTTCACCAAGTGGCTCATTATCCACCATTGGAGGGGGAGGTTACAGCCTTGAAAGTAACGATGCCCTTCCTTACAATTTCCCAAAGCGCGGTACATGTCGAATAGGATGACAAGCGCGATGGGGTAATATTTCACTTGCCCTTGGTTCTCATACCCATGGAACAGGGTGTTTGCAAGCATAATTATCCGGGTGTTGATGCTGAGGTTCAGGCCTTGGGGAAAAACCATAGTACCTAACAGTGCAATAGTGAACGCTAGGGGTCTGATCATATCCCATTCTCTGAAAGTAATCCTGAACTCTTGGTTATGATTTGCATAGAAGCTTGTATGCCCAAATTTGATATAGAGATCCCTGAAAGCGATGCTTGACCCAAGGGACCAGTGTGCGCAATCCTTTCTTAATCCGAGCCATTTTGTAATTTCTTCGATAGTAGGCTTGTTAGGTATTAGGATGTCCTCATGTTTTCTTACTCTTCTTTCAAGCCCTGTACCTACTGTATCTATGCCATCCCTAATTTCCTCAATTGTCGGGGTGATTTCCATGGTTCCAAATTGGAACACCATTTTTCATTGTCCCAGTAGCCAGTGAGGATTTCAATCAGTTTGGGCCACCCAACCATGTTGATGAGCTCTGTTAAGGCCCCTACATATTTGTCGAGATCCCTTCTGTGAAGTGCGTTGAAGTCGTTATACCATAACTTGAGCAAATCTGGGGCCCTTACAACCATGTCGAACTTGGGAAACTGAGCCATACCTACAAAATAAAACCGGTTAAGATCCCCCCCCCAAATAGGTAACAATCACGTTTCTACACATATATCTTTCAAATGTCAAATAATATGATATTTCATTAGGTCGTGGACCTTGGACATGATTTTTGGCGGTTTTACTAATGGACTTAATACGCCTTGGGTATTAAGTCGTCTTACGTTAATGCTTAGATTTGGATTTGGTTTTGCTCTACTCTAGGTTGACTAGAATTGGTTAGAAATTACGTTTACCCGAGTCGGACAAACAACGGGGTGAAGCCTAATAAACGACGTTGGATGACCACAAGCCAACTATTCGTTTATCACTTCCAAAGAATTCAACTTGTGTTTTTTTTGAATGACAGTCGTGGTAAGACACGTTATCGCCTGTTTTCCTAATGCAATCTATTTGTCATTTGGCGGAATCGAATGCCATGAATGTCACAATTTTATATATATGATAAATGAAACAAGTAAGCAATTAAAACACATAGCCAAATAAATTAATTTTAAGGTTAGAACCATTCAAATCCCCAACAGATTCACCATTCTGTTGTATTTAAAAAATAATTAGACTGATTTTAAGAGTCGCCACTTAAATTTTAAA